ATGATAGTCATGCCAGCCCAGCATCCTCAACGTTGAAAAATGCCCCGGTCCGAAGTGGTTAAGTTGGAAAGCAAAGTTTGTAATAGATGCCATAAATTTAAAAAATTGGAATTTTTTTGTAATTAACAAAAATATTTTTTTTAAAATATGCGCGGGTTGTGTCAGTTGTAACGAGTCGACGAAAATTTCCAATGAGCGTTGTAAGTGTCCCCACGGCAAACAAAATCATCTATGCATCAAACGCGGTGGGGCCTCTATTTGTGAGCGTAAGGAAATAAGATACCAATGTAAATTCTGCAATGATCCGATCAAAGTTACAATTCGTTGGTGGATTAACCCTAACAATCCCAAATCCTCCAATTTCGATACGATTTTACATACACCCTAGGGGGTTAGGGTTAATGATTGCTGCAAAAACGACAAAAATACAACAGATTTGACCCAGACCAGTTTATCGATACAGATTTTTGCCACGGATTAATTGAAGATTATGAGTATTGCTTTTGTGAAGATTGTAAGGTACCCGTAAAGCTGCAATTTTTAAATAAGCAATCTGTCTATCGTACTATCAAACGATTAGATAATTCAATAGGACATATTAAATCTAATTGCATTTTGTGTTGCTTGAGTTGTAATTACGAGAGGAAGTCTGACAAATTAAAACAACAGATGAACTAGAAAGAAGTTAATTATCATTTGCTTAAAATTTGTTTTTAAATACTACAGTTGGGCTGATGCAGCTCGACTGTAGCATTTTTTTATTTTGCTTGATTAAATAATAGCTATGCTACAATTCAAATAGTTATCAAGCTAGTGATTACAATTAACTTGTTGATGTTTTATACATGGGAATATTTATCTGTCAAGCAAACGTTCAGCAAATTTAAAACGTATATATTAAAATGGATGACATCAAAAGTATCCTCAGTTCTAATGCAAAAACAGAATCCGTCGAACCTAAACCAAACATCAAAGGCCGACTATGTTCAGTCATAGCCTCAGGCAATTCTAACAAATATGTAGGTAAAGAGTATTCTAAGAAAGAGATAGAATCACTTACCCCAGCAGAACAAGAAAAGCTGTTCAACTTGTACGAGGTGTGCTTTGGCAAAGAAATTGTAAATGCTTTGGGAAATTCGATTCTAAGTTGATACGCGCGGATTTTAAGCATAGCCACACCTATCGAATTCCTTGGATTCAACGTCGATCTGAAATCGGAAGAAGATTTAACGAAAGACCTGAACAACGACCCAATAATTAGTCAGACTATGGGGCACCTACTCAGTGAAATTTGGTAGCCATGTTGATTACAACAAAACACTTGGCTATTATTAAGAATCCTGTTATTGTAAAAGATGTCAACAGAACAACCACCACGGACTCCAGCACCGAGTCCAGCCAAGAGCCAAGTCCCAACAGTAACCAAAACAGGGTAAAACATTACCTGAACATAACAAGAAGATGAAACAGCAACTTGCCCGCTTAAAAGTCGGCGAGTAAGAGTCAGAGACGAAATCCGAAAGTAAGATTTGTCAATTCATTGCAGAAAATAGAAATTTGATTACAGGCAGTTTAGTAGTCGGAGGAATAGCTTTAGTTTTGTTTTTGAAAAAGAAAACACGGTACCTGCACTGGAAATTTTAGGAGTAATTTTAAAAACCATATACATTAAAACATGAGTAATGCAAAATCGATCGACGTAAACGGGATTGCCAACACAGTATATCACGGTGCTGTTATTAGCCTCAATGGGATATTAGCCTCATTTCAATGGGATACGCTATGCTGAGTAATAAATTATTGAAAATTAAAGCACCCAATTTGGATCAGTTGTCGGTAGAAGACGCTACCAAATTAACCGCGGTGTGGGCAGGTGCATTGGCTATGCAGGGTTGGCTCGTGGCGCAGGGTATCTTACCAGCCAGTTTCCCCACCGGTTAAAAAGGGTTTATTATAAAGTAACATGGCAGAAGGCAGATTCGAACCAGAAGAAATGCCTCTGTTGGATCGAGGTTAACGAGAAGAATTGGACAACACCATTGATAGAGAAGAAACAAGTTTCACAGAGGGTCAACCGGCAATATCAGCTAAAGAAGATAGCTTAAATAGAGCCAGAGCTATATTTAGAACCAATCCGACTGTAGACAATTTCTATAGATTTTTCAAACTTGCCGGTCGACCAGACGTACCAAATTTACCAAATTAACAAAATTTTGAATATCGAAAATGTCGCGGTTTATCTTTTTAAAGCGCTTCCGGGGTTTAGTAAGGAAGTACAATTTACTGACAAAAGAAGTCCCAATTTAGTTGTAAACCTGGACACGATAGCCAAAAATACCAGGGCGGCTGGATGGCCTTCTGGGGACGAGATTTGTTGGAGAAGAACTAGGTTGGCAGAAAAATAGCAAAAACGGCCAAAATGTTAAAATTCATTAATCCTGAAATAGTTCAAATGGAAGAACTACCTAGAGCAGCCAATCAAGTAAGCAACATCGTAGAACAGCTCACAGAAAATTGGGAAGCGCAGACGGAAGGATTAAATTACTGAGAGTTACTAGCCTTAGACGAATCTCTACAAACGGTGAAAGGCGAGCTGGTTTTAAGCCAGAGTAAATTGGACGAGTTAGACGAAAAGATTCAACAAATCAAGAAAGAATTAGAAGAAGCTGCAACTGATGCAGACTGTGCAGAACTTCAAGAACAGTTGGATGATTTACTAGTGGAAAGAGATGGCCGATTAGAAGTTATTAACAGAAACACCGATCAGATTTGTACGCAGATTAACCAAATTAAAGAAACGATTACTGCGGTGATTGACAGTGATTTAACTTCAAGTGAGAAAATGCGGGTGCTTCTTAGAGAACAAGGCGTCACAATCGTCAGCATTTTAACAGCCTTTTTAGTTTAGCTATCAGTAGGATAATTTCAAGCATGGTAGCCGCTGTGAGAGCTGTTGGTACGCCTGCGCCAGAGCCTGAACCGGGGCCTGGTTCTTGGCCTGTTTGACCGTTGACATCAACCCAAATAGTGCACCCTCTTTTTTACTCGGTATTCATGAGCCCCTCCACAGAAAGGCTACACTCCGGGATTTTTCTCTTCGGACCAAGGTCTGAAAATTAGTCATACTGAATGACATGAAAAAAAAAAGACATCCGAGACATAAAATATGATTTATGATGAAAATCTGATGGGCAGAGTTAATAATTGTAATGTAGTTTTCAACAGGGATACCTCCAAAATAAATGGCAAAATTAACATCGTGCACAGAATTTTCAAGCACGACATGTGACAGCGTTTTCAGCATTCTTGAACATCATGCACTTTTTGTCAAAATTCTCGGACATCATCAAAATTCTGTCAAATATGATGTTCGCAACAAACATATTGTACTCATTCATATTTTTGATGCTGCCAAACTTAAAGGTAATTTTTGGTGGTTGAGAGGTATGAGACCTGGCAGATATGCTGGTATATTGAGAGTGATTATAAACGGTAAGAAAATGAAGGGAGCCAAAATTTTCTCATCATTTTCCGTAAATTTTGTGCTCTTTTTTTCATAGCTTATATATTTTAAAGTTATTTCTTGGGTGCTTTAAAATACATCAGTTGCAAAATATACTGAATTCTCATTGTTATTGAGAGAAGTTTTGAAATCAAGTCCTCTGGTGCAAACACTTTGACGTAAAACTTTAAATGAATTCAACTCCATTTATTTTTGCACTGGTAGCCTACCAAATGTCCTCCCAATGCACACATTATACTTAATTATCCCCAAATAATCATTTTATAAATCTGAAGGTGCTAAGTTGTATTTTACATGATCAAAGTCACTCTTTAGAAATTTGATAAATGACATCGGGAGTTGTATTTTGCCTTAACCCTAACAGTCCTAATCCTCCAATTTCCATACGATTTTACATACACCCTTTGGGGTTAGGGTTACGCAAAGTTGAAGTCAAAAATGTACAAATGCAGTTGCAACAGAACAGTGTTGTAGAAATCAGCAATTGGTTTGAGATATGGCTCGGTGGAAGTAGTTGATGTTATTCCCCTTGTGTACACAATTTGTTGCATTTATCATGTTTTCGACGTAATACCGGTATGTGTTGCTTGGCAACATTTCCTCTAACTGCATTTCTCATGGGAAAGTCAAAGTGCTGTGTTTGGTGTTTGACATTTTTGATAAAAATTTACATGTACCACAAACGAAACAGATAAATAGTTTTTTTCTTCTTTATATCAGAAAGAAAAGACTTGAAGCAGATGCAGACACATGAAGACTTGAACAGGATGAAACTGCTGGAGATCCTCCAACATGCTACTTCATGTGTAGAAGAGATTAATGCCCTTGACCAACTGAGGAAAATATTACGACCTGAAGATGATCTATCAGGGGAAGATGACTTTGAACACCAGTGGCTGTCTATAGCTGCTGACAGTTTGGGAGATGAAGGTCCATTTAATCCCTTTCCTGCACACACACCAGACAGTTGGTTCTCTTCTCAGTCTAATCTTGACAGGTTGGTCTTATTAATATCTTATTCACAAATTTAGTTTTTTAAATATGTGTGTTATGTCATATGTTATGTTTTTGAGGGTATGGCGGACCTTTTGTCTTTGGTGTAGATGTTTTATTGAAAGCAGCAACATTGCTCAAAATCTTAAGACAGGTATTCCGTAACAACAAACTAGCCCTAGTCGATATCATTTTTTTAAACTGCTAACATGTAATGAAAGTATCATCATGTGTCAATCTGCATGACACTTCACACTTGCTCTTTCAAGATGAACATCTTTCTTAAGCAAAAAATTTTTAAAAAGCTAACAAACAAAAACATGGTTGCGTGCAAGCATCCTCCATTGCTGTTTCAATAGAGCACAGCCATGATGTCAAGTCATAATGGAACGGAACCAACAAAATCGACTTTTGCTGCCAATATGTAATTAAAGCACCATTGGGCGTCAATCAGTATGACTCTTCACACTTGCCTGTAAAATTCTCTAATGCAATTGGAAGTCTGAAATAAACTGCCAGCACAAGCAAGATGGTGCAGTAGTAAGATGGCGCAGTGACTTTGTTAGGAGGTAAAACTGTTGAGCAGTAAATGAAAGGAAGTTGGCTACGGGACATTTCAAAAGAAGAAAAAATGATCCCCAATTCCCTTATTTGCAGGCCTCGAATTTAATTTTTTTTCACTTACCCTCCACTTACAGTATCTACCTCTTACTTTCCACTTACCTATTCCTGAGAATTACTTACATGTACCAATTTGTTTGTCAGATTCAGTCAAAATTATTCACAATAGTTTAGTGCAATAAGGGCCCCCCCAGTAAGCTCGTCCTGTTGCAAAAACCCCTTTCGTACCAGCCTGGCTACCAGCCTGAGATGCTGGACTGGTTCTTGATCTCGAACTTTTCCATCCTGGGGTCTATTGTGTGCAAGTACTGGTACATGTAATCTATCCCAGAAAGAACCTGCTTGTGGTTTTTAATCCTTCAGGGCTATACAATAGAACCCTTAGCCAGCAGAGATCAAAGCCCCCCCCCATGGGATTAGGCACACAATAGCAGTCATCAATGCAGTTGATCTCCAAACATATTACAGTCAAGTACTCCCACCAGCACATGAAAGCCATGCCACCTTTTATGGTCGAGTTACAAGCAGTGCACCACTTTCAAACACAATGTATCTTATTTCATTTTCATTGACTTCTGCAAGGAACCTCTGTTGCATTTCTAGATCTTGCAGAAAAAATCAACCATGAAACCTTAAGTTCACAAGCAATACTATTTTCAGTCATATATCCCCCAGCCACACTCACTTTTAAAGTACATTGCAGTTCAATTTGCCACTCCTGAATTAATAGATAGTGGTTATTGTTTGATTTAATATGTACATGTATAAAGAAGCTGCTTCCAATCAAACTTTTTTTTTCATGGGACTTAATTATCGCCTCCAGTATGAAAATAGAGTATTTCCAGAGTTTCTTTGCAAGCTGGTATTGCTGATTCATTTACACCTTAAAGAAAAGAAATGTTCATTTTAGAAACGTTTCATCTGTACTTCCAGTTCTAACGTCGAATGCTCTACCGATTTGTTTTACCAAAAATACACACAAATTACAATTTTAAAAATGGATTATACGGGGAACTGTTTTTATTATTTAGTCTCCAAAATGTGATAGTTGACATTTCCAAAACTTGACATATGCCATTTTGTTCATCGTTTCAATTCAGTCCCTCTCCTTTGCTATCCAGAATCATACGTGCAGTTTAGAAGTAACTGCAGTCACCCCATTTTTTTTTCACAATCTTTTTGAAATATTCTGACCTTTTTCGAATGGATAAATGGCGTTTGGGAAATAAAATCTTCACAACTGTGTTCTCACTTCAGTTGTGACATTTTCCTTAAACTCCTGTCAAATTAATTTGCATCACTCGTTGATTGCCTCAACAGTTTTACATTTATGGTCAGTGTACCAGTCGGGAAAGTCTGGAAACTGTATTTTGGCCTGCTGGAAGATGCTATGTACGATCTCCCGATCAAGGGTTCCTATTGTACACATTTTGTTGTTTTAGTCACGGGAGTTTCCGGTCACATTTTTTTGGTACCAGTTCCTCTTTTGGGATCTCCCTCCCCATCAAGTTCAGGCACAGCCTCAGTCTGCATCGGATGCTTCCAGCTTCCTTTGCTTGACCTCCTTGAGAATGACCTTGTATTCCAACACCAAATGAACCATGTTTGTGTTGCCACCAAGAAGATATTCGTCTGGCTCCTTGCCTGGAACAAATCGAGGGTTGATAGTGCGGCTTGAAGTTGGTGTTTCTTGGACTCGAGACACTCGCACTGGAGGTGCAGGCTCAGGTTGAGTGTCAGCTGACAGGGTCCAAGGTTCATTGATAGTCAATGATGTGGCAGGAGTGTTTGGAACGCTGGCCACGGCTCCGTTGTCAATCCTTGCAGCTAGATGCTTGACTCTTTCACGGAAGCTCTCCTGTCTGTTCTCAAGGCGATCAAGCTGCACTTGGATCTATGTCACCTTTGCCTGAAACGTCTCGCAAAATTTCAAGCACGAGCGGTAGAATGTCGGCCTGTGATGGCATCCAGGAACTTGTTGGAGGCAAAGACATAGCGCAGGCCACGGGCTGAGTACAGGACACAAGACGTTGGATTTTGTTGTCAATGTTGGCACAAAGTTTGGAACTCAGACCAGCGAGTGGAACATCATCATCAGATTCATCGCTAGAATCTTCGCCTGTCATGGAAAATAAGCATGAAAAATGAATTTGAGCTATATATTCGTCTTCAAATAGAAAAATAATGCTGACATCGATTTTTTTGCTATATTTATGAACTGTTGCCATTGAACATTTTTTGCACTTGCAAAAAGTGGCACCTTCAACTAAAAAAGTAGTACTTTGAAATTATGTAATTTACTTACCAAAACGTTTGGGGGGACGGGTATCCATCAAGCTTTCTCCAGTGCAGGTGTTCATTTTGAACAAGTATGTGGCGAATTTCACAGAATATTTTGGTCACAAGTCACAGTACAAGCAGTGCATGTATTTGATGTGACAGTGAAGTGGAGAGGCAGCGCAATCATGAGACCCTGTTTGCGTCACTGAGCAACATCGCAGCCACTGATTGGTCAACAAGCTATACAAAACACATTGCCCATAGCAACAACTATTCCTGTAACATCATTTGCAGTCAAGATGGAGCTCACTCCACCACGCTGTTCAGTCTCACCAGGAGCCCAGATTTTCAGCCCAATTACAACAGTCCTCTCCCCACCACGGAAGCCAGTTTACCGTCCTGCATTTTCGCCTCCTAAACATGTGACCTGATTGTCCAGAAAAAGGCTTTTTGGTGGTCCTGCCTTCTCTGCTCAGGGTGCAATGCCCACAAACATGGAAGAAAGCCATTTCATGAAAAGTTCCTGTCTCTTGTGCCAATAGTGGTCGACACACTTCAGGAACATGGTTTTGGCGCTCATGATCGACGATCAAAGACGTGGTCTTCGATTGAAGTAACTGCACGTCAGTTGAAAACGGAAGTTGCCACAAAAATCCCTGAGTTTCGCATCAGTACCAGAATTATCCAACGCCTGCTCATCCCTCCTAATTGGCAACATACGGCGAGCCATCGATACCATGCCCTTGTTGATGCCAAGATCGGCATAAAACGAAATGATGTCATGCGTTACATTACTGTCTTGTTACGGTAAATAATGCCCTTGAAATGACCGCATGTTTCAACAGTGAAGTTTCTATGTGGTCTGCGGATGACAAATCAAGCTTCTGGTAGGAAGTGGCCCATGTGTCGACAGAAAAACGAGTTTCAAAACATACTTCATGACCGATTCCGTGCACTATCCCGATCACAACTTTGTAACAGGCTACAAAATCATACCAAGTGGTTACATGCAATTTCTTAATCAACCATCTTCATCAACAAGTTGAAAGCGATCAAAATCGGTTAGCCCTACGAGATCTGGAACACGTTTTGATGCCCCAGACTGCGAAGATCCACTTCTGTGCCGCTCTCCACCAGCATCAAGATATCGCCGTGACAGCCTAGGCTGTCTTCACTTCTGGTATCCAAGAACAGGGCCCCTGACTGTTTGCTTGTGAGGAAACAAATTCTCTAGAGCATCAGTGTGCAATCACTACATGTATGCTGATCTCCTCCCCTTGCTGAGAGATGTCCGGGACAGAGATGACAAGAACGCTGCCCTCATAGTATCAGATAATGGTCCCAATTGGAAGAAAAGCAGTTTGAAGGTGACCATGATGATTGGCGACTCTGGCGGGATCTCGGATTGGATTATCTCTGCATAGTGTCATACGCACCTGGGGACAGCAGATTCAACATGATTGAGTACAGTTGGGCCTGTGGGATTAGTGATGGAAGGCATTGCTATCGGCGCATTTGGCGCTTATGCGATGTTGAAATATGCCAATTGCCGACTAGCCCATAAAACCAAAAAGCACGACCAAATCCGCACACTCGCCGATGCTAAATTAAATACGATAAACGTATCTCATGCAATCGAGGACGGCGACATATCCCAAGAGGAATTTGTACTGATTTTATCTGAGCTGAAGAAGTTTAACGAGATGAAAGAAAAAATTAGGTCAAATACGACGACAAAATTGAAAGAAAGTAAATCGGCTAGTAAAGAAGAATTTGAATGGCAAGTCAATGAAAGAGGAGAAGCGCTTACCAATGAAAGAGCGGCAGTTTTTAAAAAAGATCTTTTAAAAAAACTTGGCGAATAACTTTGCACAAGTCGGTCAAGTACGAAGAAAAACCACCTCCTTACCTCGATGTAAAACCCGCGGCACCTCCTTTTTAAATGTGTATAAAATAAATGGGAGCCAACTTTAGTCATTTATCGATCGTCGTCAATAAAGATAATTAGTTTTCGGCCGAGTTTCCCAATTAAATGCATGCATATAAATTACCGAAAGTCACGACGGATGAAGCCGTTTATCGCTGGACAACCGAACCGATTTC